GTTTCTAGGTCTCTCTGTCCCAGCTGCAGTTTGTTAGGTAATTTTCAGATTGCAAAAGGCCAGGCCTTTCATATGCAAAAGCCTCTGTGCACAGCTTGGGTGGTGCAGGGTCTCAGGGAATCAAAAGGGAGCAGCAAACAGCTGTGGCAGATCCTCAGTCCTACCCTAAGATGTCCCGCGTTTCAGTGTCCTGGTAATCGCTGAAAGCAACTCTGAGAGAAAGCTGCTCTGGAGTTCAGACCGATGCCAGACAGTCCAGTTTCTACACCTATGAATCTGGGTCCCCAGAGACTCTCCCAGAACTGGAGTTCAGAGCAGTCGGGAGAGTGAGACTCCCTCCCGATTGATAAAAACAGCCGTGTCCTCAGTTGCCGGCCCTCGCCACGTGTGCCTCCTACCTCTGCACTTTACTTCCCCCTCTCCTTTGAATCTCAGTGTGCTTTTCTCTTTCCTTTTAGTTGTAGAATTTCCACTCAGCCAGTCATCCTGTGGTTCTGGATGATGTTTGTTTTGTCTTTTAGTTTTATTTTTGAAGTGGTTGTGCGAGGCAGCAATTTCAGGTGTTTACCTATGCCGCCATCTTGGTTTCTCTCTACATATGTGTTCTTATCTCCCCATTGCTCCCCCATCCCCCCACTCATGCCCTCACCCCCCTGGTATCTGTGTCCATTGGTTTGGTTAAGCATATATGCATGCATACAAGTCCTTTGGTTTTTCTCTCCCTCTTACCCCTGCCCTACCCTACTTTCCCTCTGAGGTTTGATGATTTGATCAATGCTTCCCAGCCTCTGGATCTGTTTTTGTTATTTTTGATAGGTACTTGTTTGTAGCCATTTTTATTATTTATGCCTGTGTTCCTTCCTCCCTTTCTATTTCTTCTTTTTACAGTCCATTTAGCATTTCTTGCATTGCTGGCTTGGTGGTAGTAAACTCCTTTAGTTTTTATTTGTTTCTTTTGTCTGCAAAGCTCCTGGTTTCCCATTTAATTTTGAATGATAGCCTGGCTGGATAAAGAGTGTTCTTAGTTTCAGTCCCTTGCTTTGCATCACATTGTATACTTCATTCAATTTCCTTCTGGCCTGACATGTTTCTGTTGAGAAATTATTTGATAGTCTAATGGGAGATGCCTTGTAGTATCTTTCCGTTTCTCTCTTGTAGCCTTTAAGATTCTTTCTTTGTCTTTTACATTTTACAATTTAATTATGATGTGTTCTGGTGTCTGTCTTTTTTGGTTCATCTTGTTTGGGCATCTTTGTGCTTCTTGCACTTGTATGCCTTTTTTCTTCTCCAAATCTGGGAAGTTTTCTGTCATTATTTCTTCAAACAGGTTTTCTATTCCTTGCTCAAATTCCTCGCCTTCTGGCATCCATATTATGTGGATGTTGTTTCATTTATGGTGTCCCAAAGCTACCTTAGATTCTCTTCCTGCTTTTAATTTTTATTTCTAGTTGCTGCTCTGCTTGGGTGTTTTTTTTTCTACCTTGTGTTCTAACTCACTGATGCAGTATTCTGTTGAAACCATCCATTGTGTTCTTTTTTGCTGCTATGTCATTCTTCATTTCCTCTTGATTCTTATTCATGTTGGTGAAATTCTCATTCAGATCCTTATAATTCTCATTGATTTGCATGTATTTTTCACCCAGATGTTTGAGCATCCTTATAAACATTACTCTGAATTCTTTCTCTGCCAAATTACTTGGCTCCATTTCATTTAGTTCTTTTTCTGGTG